TTAGATACATGTGTAAGAGGTGAGATTTCTGTACTTGTACTGGACCATGTTGCGTAACCCGAGATTCACTCACCTCTTGTGTGTGTGTACTGTACCGGTACTCTACAATACCGGTATCCTCCCACAAGTGTTACTAGTACCGCCGGTTACTCGTACAAGACTCGGGAAAAGAACGATGAGGGGGGATGAATGATGTGGAGGCGTTTCGTGGCTTGGTGAAGGTTATCGGTAGTCTAACGGTTTGGCTCGGGGTCACATACAGTTCGCCTTTGGGGAAAGAAAAGGGTGTGCGGACGAAAGAGGATATACCAGTGCTCGTACTAGTACAGGAAGGGATAATGTATGCACGTTTTGCGAAGAGGTCGATGATTAGTTGTATGGTACAAATCAAGCCTTGGGAGAGAGAGAATAAGGGGGGGAGGAGTGTGGCTGAGCACAAAATGATACAGTATGATATTCCTCCCCCCCCCCCCATCACGGCTTCCTTCCGCTCCACCCTATCCATCGATCAGGCTCTGCACCTGCAAAGGTTGCTTGCTTGCTTGCTTGCTTGCTATACCCTTCTCGAACAAGGAACTCGCAAGATATCATCTACCGAGATGTAAAAAAAAAAAAATAAGTAAAGGATGAGAGAGGGAGAGAGAGAAAGGGCGGGTTGATATTGGGCACAGTAAGCGAGATATGACTTACCAAGACCGAATAAAAACCCCCCCTCCAACCACTCAGCACAAGCCAGCGCGGGCCCAGTCCCGAAGCCCACCACCACCGACCGACCGCCCGTGCGAATATGATACTATACTATAACTTTGTCACCGGGCAGTGCAGAAACCCACCGTTTAGCGAAAGCGGGTAGGAACACGCACACACGCTTCCGATAACACCACCAAAGCCCAACAAACCCCACGACAGAACAGAACTGACGGACGGACGGACGGACCCATGGCTGCGACCACCAAATCCGCCCTGCAAAACCTCATCTCCATCATCTCCGCCCCACAGCAGCACACTTTCCCAATACGGTTATGTTTTCCCCTTCCCCCAGATAACAACAACAACAAATAATAATAAGGTTCGAGTGATGTCTCATGACGAAATCTGGAACAAACACAGTACCGCTATCACTTTCCCCCCTCCCACCCCACCAGGGGAGAGAGAGATAAAAAAAAAAAAAAAAAAAAAAAGGAAAACTTTAGAGTTGACGTTCTTCTGTAGCTGTCTAGAGAAGATTCCATGCATGGCTTTGTGGGAGGGGAGGGAGAAAGTGGTGGTGGTGGTTTATAATCAATCAATAAATCGCCAAGGAGTAGCAGTAGCAGTAGTAGTAGTAGTCATAGCATACGCGTATGTCATTTATCTTGGGGCACATAGGTATGAGGTTTTCTTCTTCCCGGGTCCACGGTAGAGGAGGGGGGGAAGGAGGATTGGTTGGCTGTTTGGCAAAAGGCCGGTATAATTATTACGCCGGTGGAGGGGGAAAAATAACGTACTGGTCGGTGGTGCGGTATGTGCAACCCCAAATTTCTACGGAGGAGGAAGGAAAGGAAGGAGGAGGAGGAAAGGAGGGGCGGGGAGAGCATGGAGATGAGAGTTTGACGGAAGCCAGCGATCGACGGGGCAGAAAAGAGGACGAGATAACTTTGTGTGGGTAGGAGTCTGACATGAATGAATGAATGAACCTGGCGAGCCTGCACCTGTATGATACCATACTCGTACTGTACACTGTATCCTGCATTCTTAGGCAGGCATCATCATAGGTAGGTATCATACTAGTACTCGAGCATACAAGTTATTGTGACAAAACCCAACCGCCGTTCCCGCAAAAAGCAAGAAAGAAAGAGAGAGAAAAGAAAAACAAAAAGACAAAAAACCCCTAAATAGGCGATAAGAATCGCTCCGGCCCCGTTAAAACTCCTTTTTATCCTCCGAGATGGAAGAAGGTTAGCAACGCACGGCCCGGAGATATCAATCCATCAATCAATCCATGACATGCCGGACCAAAAACTTACGGTTTCCCTCTTCTCCTTCTTTTTTCTTCGTCCTTCTCGGAGAGGTTGTTGTCATTGAGAATGTGAAGAAACAATGCAATGGGAAAAGGAAAAAAGGAAGAAAAAAAAAACAATTACCCAAGACAGAAATAGTAAAACTTAATCGCGCAATTATCCCCAATAATTTACCGAATAAAATATGATGGAAGGTGTGAGAGATGGTCCATCACATGCTTTTGGCTGACTGAACAGGCCCGACTTAAATTTGACGAGTGTTGTGAGCAAGAGAGGGAGAGGGAGAGGGAGAGAGAGAGAGAGAGAGAGAGAGAGAGCTCGCGTCGCGTCGCGTCCTCCTCGCTCCTCTTCCTCCCTCTCCCTCCTCCCCCTCCCATTCCTTCCCTTTCCTTATTCTTTCACATTTCAATGCAAGAAAAAAGTGCCGTTCGGTGACTGACTAGGGGGAATGTGCGACATGCCAAGAGTTTTTCTTTTCTTTTCTTTTCATCGACGGAGAAACCGAAAGGGAGTTCCAGTAATTGACAACGTCAGAAGCAAGCAACGTAGATTACCTACCTGTAGGGTGAAAAAGCGTGCAAGATCAAATGTGCGAAATTGAGTCACTCTCGAGTAAAATTCGGGTGCATCGTACGTGTTTGTGTGTATGATGATGCTCCCCGAATGGAGGAGGGGAGAGTGGCAACTATAATTTACAAAGTCAGTGGCAGTAAAACAGAAAAAAAACCCCGGTTATCATAACTCCCCCCCCCCTAAAAAAAAAAAATCTGGAACCTCTCATCTCTGCTCCTATCCTACGGTAAATATCATAGTTAGATCTCATCTCCTTCTCCAAGGCCGAGTTACTATATCAATCAATACCAATCCCACCATTTCGGATAGTACCCACCCACCACCTAAACCCATTTCCAAAACGAAATAGGAACAAAACCAACCGCCGCCGCTCCAGAAACCCACGCACAAGGAGAAGTGTAACTTGTATGACGCAAGTAAAAGAAAAAAATGTGCCCAAAAGTTGGAGAATTTGCTGATAGGCACAAATGAATCCAACAGTATCATGCAAAAAAAAAATCCCATAAAGCGGTGCAAGTCTGTACCACCTAACCAACTAACTTACAAGCACTGTACACTACAGTACTCGCTTTTTACTAACTTGTCAGAGGCAAAACCAAGAAAAGAAGAAAAAAGAAAAAAAAACCTAATTCAGGATAACCGGTATATATACAAAAAAAACAAAACTTGCACATGTACCATACATAATATTGTCTGTATAATAGCGAAACAAATTTTTTTTTTTTTGGCCAGGAAGCGGCTGAAAATGGCATGCTGGCAGCTGGCGGTAAAGCGTGTACTCTATATACCAAGTGAGTACTGTACAGTACTGCACTGTACTGTACCGGTATTGTGCTTTCAGGTAAGGCTGGATGGGATGGATGGGATGGGATGGGATGGGGATGCGCGGTGGATCAACGGATTTACCAAAATTATCGACGCCTACTTACTGTACAAAGTATTAGGTATTATAAGCCATCACTTTTTTTTTTTTTTTCCTCCGAATATCTAAGAAAAAATCCAACTTTTACAGCCTTTCGAGAGAAGCAGAGAAGCACTCTGGCGCGACTTGGGCCGGCCAATAGCCTTTTTTTGTTTCTTTGGATTGGGTGTGTGTGGGGTGTGTGTGGGGGAAGGGGGGGGGGGCTGTATCAAAATTTCGTGAGGTGAGTTGGGCCATAAATTGCTGTGATGGATGGGGTCTAATAAACCTCAGGGAATTTTGGCAAAAGCCCGTCGATGGCGATGATTGAGAATAGAATCGTACCTATAGTGAGTTGCTGTTGGGTTCCTGTCTCTCTCTCTCTGGCTTCAATCGAATATATTATTATTATTATTATTATCATCATCATCATTATTATTATCCTGGTATGTGTGCGCGCTTCTGGGTTATCATGCCGGCATCATCATGGTCCACTTGCTCTCCCTGATACCCAGAGCACGTGATAGGATATGCTGCTAACCTTTGCTGCATCATACTGTAAATAAACTTCCATCCATCTCGTTCAGATCGTGGGTTCCACCACCCCACCACCCTTTCCATCCATTCAGTCAGTCAAACGAAATCAATCGAGCCAAATCAAAACAAATATCAATACTTTTTATGCTTTTTTCTATTGATTCCTTTTTTAATCAACCCCTCCTTTTCCTCCCCGACCCCTTGGCACCATAAGACAACACTACAATCTCAACTAGTCGCACAAGGTCTACAATCTCATGGGAAAGAAGAAAAAAAAAGGAAAACACCCAGTTTTCGTGAAAAGAATATAATACTCTAAGCATAACAGTACGATAACAGACCCACCGAACGCCCCGAAAGCAACCTGAACCCGTAACGCGATGGTGATGGAAAACCTAAAAAGTAAAAAAAATAAACATAAACATAAACATGCGACAGCAATCAAGCCCTCCGACTCGCTCACTGAGGATGAGATGAGAGGGTTTGCTGTGTCGAGGTGAGAAAGTAATAAAAAATGGACAAAGAAATGTAGAAGGGGAGAGAGGGAAGGAGCAGAGGGGTAAAATAGACAAATGGAGAAGAATGAGAAACCTAATAAACGCCCCGAGAAAAAAAGAAAATAATGGGAAAAAGAAAAGAAAAGAAGGGGAAAAAAGGAAAGAGGCCCTGGTGGGTTAAGATGAATATGGTGAAATGAGGGGGGGGGGGTTTGGGTTACTGGTATGATAGGAGGCGAAGGGAGTGAGTGGGAAGGGAGAAAGAAGAAGTAAGCAAGGAACCAAAGCAAGATACAGGTAAATCAAAAGAAAGTGGGAAGAAAGGGTTCGAAAATGTGAAGTTTCAAGAAAGAGCAAAAAACCCCCCCATACAATCCAATCCGATCAGCTACGAAAGGGGGGTTCTTTTTGGAATAAAAAAAGTGATAAGAAGCGGAAGAAGGTTGTTGTTGACAAAAATAGTTCTTTCCCTTTTTTTTTTTTTTTTTTTTTACTAGGCTGGACCGGTTGCTCTCTGGTATTCTTCGATTTGTACAAAAGCGGTTAGACCATCGGGGACTCCGTGGCCCAAATGACTGTTTCCCCGTGATGAAACGGCGGGAAGCACAAGAGGAAGGGAAAGAGAGAGAATTTAACCCTCTTGTACTCGAGTATTAGAGTTCTTTTTTTGTTTTTTTGGGGGGAAATCAGCCCGCTATGACCAGTTCAAGCAGGGAAGCTGTTTGGTGGTGGTACCGCAACGTTGAATGGGTAGGGGAAAAAGAGTGGGCTCCGGTCGAACTCAGTAAGATTTCGAGCCCTTTCCACCTTGGCTCGTTTGTTGCTGTGCTGCAGGCTCTAACAACTGGGACAGGAGCAGATAACTATTGACCCTACCTCCTGAACCGGCTGCTCTAGCGGGGTCCGTGTAACGCAATATCGAGAGGATTGGAGGTACTGCTGTACTCGAGCACACATGGAGGGTAACTCGTGGGGCTGTGTCATCCTCTGATCCTTCTATCCTCTCATTCCTCTCTTGCAGCGTTTCCTTTTTTTCCCGCTCCCCATCAATCCTGCGCTGCATCACGACTCCCAAACCCCAACCCAACCCAACCCAACCCTCCCATCCCTCGTCGGGCAAGGCTTTCCAATCTGCCAAATCTCTCTCGCCTCCGCGGAGGCCCTAAATCCCACAAGAAACTTTCTCTTATCCTTTCTGTTGCGCAAAGACGCGCAGAGGGAGGTAGGATAAAAGTGACCGTCACTTGTAAAGACTCGCTGGTTCGTACGTTCGGAGCAAGATGTTAGCATCTTGCGTGTGTAGGGTGATGTTTTATCCGGTGTGTCGCAACGGTATGTAGCGTTGCGATATGGAGGGGGGTGTAGATGTCGTAGGTGTCGTAGCAGATGTGGCGATGAAATGGTTTCGCGGTCATTCTGTAGAGCAATGTGAGAAAAGCCATTACTGCCACTCCACTCCCCTTACTATCTCGTCATCCTTCTTGTCGTCCTCCTGGCCATGCGTGAATCCGTGAATCATCAAGTTCCTCCAAGCTCGCCCTTCCCGAGCAAATAAAAGGCCCCTTAGAAAAATCAAATAAAAAATCAAAGTATCATATACAAGAAAATCAAAGGAAATCGACAGATGGGAGATGGTGCGAGAAAGAAAGAAAAAATCCAAAGAGTTTCGGATTTTTTTTCATCCCGTCACATTGTTGCGCATTGCAAATGCATAGCTGAACATTCCACTTTCGTTCCATCCGCTGTATACCACGATTCAGATTTATACTCTTCGGGGTTTATCGTCTCCGAGCGTTTTCTCCGGTACCTTGAAGACGACGGCGACGCCGAATGGGCAGGTGGATTCGGCATCGGGCCATAAAACGCTGAAGCAGGCGGGTATCCGGAATACTTTCTCGGTGAAGCAGCAGTAAAACCGCCACCACCACCCATACTACTGCTACCGCTGCTGTCCATGGACGGCAACGGTGTGGGACTCCGCAGATGAACATAAGGTGAAGGCTGCAGTGGGGATTCCGGCATATAGTTGGAGTACCCCGGGTATCCGTAGTTACTGGGAGAAGCGGACAAGGGCGGGGGGGTAGTATTATATGTGAATGGTGAAGGGCTCGGGATCTGATTGCTGCAGCTGTACGCATATGATGGCGGGACGGAGGAAGGGGGGTATTCGTTCATCGGGATGGGTGAGGTGGGATTGTATGGGTAGCTGATGTCGGGCGCATCTGGTGATGGGGGTTGCGTATTTGTGTAGGATTGTCCGAGCTTTGGTGAAGTTGCCCCGGTGCTGCTGGGCGTAGTAACTGCGGTGTTTGGTGATGTGCAGTCTATTGAACATGTGCTTGAGAAGGAGGACCTCTGCGATGCTGGTGAGCTGCAAAACGACATTTTGAGCTAGATAAACGGTCTTTTATTTCCTGTTTTCTTTTCTTCTCCTTCCTCTTATATAGATTTTGTAGAGAGTGTGATGGCAATTTGCGTCTTTTTTTCCTTGGAGGTGGTTACCGTCTATGTTGGTTTTGTCCCTTCGTTCGGTCTGTGATGTAGTGGATGAAAGTCTATCGAAGACAATCAGATAATCGTTTGGATAAGGGAGTGTGTGGGTTTTGTGAATCTCAATGTTCGGTAGACGACGGGAGGGGCACGAGTCCTAATATATCGATGGGGTCTGATGGGTGAAGGAGTCACGAGAAAAAGAAGTGCAGAGCCTTGGACGGTAAGAGTAAGGGTTCAGGCGGGCTGGTGTCTGCATAGCGAACTATACTGTATGGTACATACAAGTTAATTGAATGGTGATAGGGTGGTACAGTAACTGGGCCTGGACGCCCGATTGATTGATTTGGGGGGGGGGGTGTAAGTTATCTATGGGATGTGTGATTCCAAGGATCCGGACTGAGCGAATTGTACTAACTTTCCTTGGATTGTCTTGTTAACATCAACAACCTAGCCTCTTTTGAAATATCGCCTTCCGGTTTTCCCTTTCATCCAAGAGTTCAGTTCGCGGGGTTTGAACTGGACCCGGGCCAACGTTATTTTTTCCCTCGTTGCCCGCTGGCTACTTGTGTAGGCGTAACCCCAAGCTTTTTTGCTCTCTTTCGTCCTTGTTGTGTCTTTGCTACCCACATCTCCCCTGACCTTCCCAGACGGACAAGGGCATTGGACACTACTGTATCGGTAGCACTAAAAGCGATTTAAAGGTGCTTGCTTGGTTTCGGCTTATCCTTACGCCGGAGTAGCGACCGACGAGGATCTACTCTACAGGGACAAAAGCAAACCTCTCTTGATAATGAGTTCTTGATCCGGCTCTTTCTGCTGCGCAATGTGAATCCTTTGTAAGCCAACTGGAGAGAAAACCTAAATGTCACAGCCCTTCGGGGCTTTGAAATTGCTTTGCTAATGAAAAAAGGGCAGGCAGGCCTTGCCGCTTGGGGCACAGTTTGGCGAGGTCAGCAAGCATCAAGCAAGGTTCTTTTCCAAAGTGTGTGCACTCAAATGGTTTGGGTAAAAGAAGGAAGGGTTGTGGTGGGCTTCCCGGATACCCAAGCATCCCGAAACGTGGTATCAGGGAGGGTTCATACAATGCTCGAGGATGAAAGTAACTTGGTTGAAAAATTTGGTAAAGGGTGTGAGATTAGTTTAACCAAACGACAATGCGTGCGGGTGGTGATTGACATTTCGTGCACTTTACGCACCCCTTGCGCCTAGATAATTTAGTTTATTTCGCTTGGTATTTTTGTCGCTTCGCCTCAACTCCCGGGTTGGTGGGTGAAGGGGGGGGGGAAAGGATTGGGAAATGGGGAAATGGGGAAATGGGGAAAAAGGGAGGGGAAAGGATTATAATGGTTAGGTTTTTCCTTGAAGGGGGTGGGTCTCTTATCGACTGGTCATTTGGTTTACCCTGATGTTTTTCCTGCAATATCAAGGGGGGTTAAAAGAACAGTGCAGAACAGTAATTTGCCTTTCGTTGTGCCTGGCAGCAGGCATTGGTTACCCAAAATTTCAAACGGCCCCTCCATCACTCTGATGCATACCCTTTCTGCATGCATGCATACTCGGCGGTGTTGTCGAATGCTAAAAAGATATCAGCGCGGCAATCGAAGCGCTTCCCTCGACCATCGATGTAACCATCTTTGCACTTCACGAGGTTAGACTTGGATCCCATCCTGGATTTAGGGATGGCCATGGCGATAGAGGTAAAGAGAGAGACAGCCAGATTAAGAACAGCAGGGAATGAAAAGTGTTCGGTGTTGAGCAGTTAGTCTCAATCGTATGACACCCCCCCCCCTTGGATATATTGGTACGGAGGATGTTCTCCAAATTCTTTCATCTCGCAGGTGAGTCATGGAGCATCATCCTTATTGTGGATAGGTTCCTCCGAAACGTCATTCCGCTCACAACCAACTAAACCACTTTGAGAAGGAAAAATGTCTTAGGCTGAGAAGCAATATCGGATTTAGGATTATTATTATATTATTATTATTATTATTATTTTAAAAAACCATCTAAGTAGAATTAGGGTACGAAAAAACAAATTACTTCTACTTTCGGGGTTCAAATATCATAGGCTGTTCCCTTTTCTGCACTCAGCTTTCCCGTGCAGAAACGGTGCTGAGTTCGCTGAAACGGCGTCCGGCTGCCGGAGTATCATAACACTTCTCGAGTACGCCTGGCAGGTCCGCGTTTGTTTTGCCGAGAGCTTGTATTTGTGGGTCGAATGATTTTCGGTCAAATAAGTGCGAAGTACTTGTATTCAGACATAACCACGTAGGCAAGGAAGCAGGTTTTCTGGAAGCAGTGAAAGGTGGCTGTGCAATCACGGTATCCACACTTCCAGAGATTGCATTCTCTCGTGTGACATGCTGCTGGGATGGTGTAACTTAGCTCTTAATCTCTCTGATGGGGGTGGGGGATAATGGTTCTGTTAATAATTTTGGAGCTCCTCTAATAACTACCTTTCTTGCCGCTCTCTCTATAACGCCCGCTCTCTGCTAGGGTGAACTATATTCGTCTCAACCCATACAAGATGGAGTGAAGGATTGGTACCACCAATCACGGGTAAGAGCATGGTGTCTGGGAGTTACGCTACCCGGGGTAACGATTGCCAACTATCACCACCTCACCAGATTGTCCATGTTCCCAGGATCGGGAGGAAAGGCTGAAGGGCCCTACTTGCAGTGAATAAGAAGTCGATGATCCTGACCAAGGATATGTGCAAACAAACTAATTAACATGGGGATCGGCGCTTCATGGCCACCCTTCTGTACAACGTGGAGCATCCTGTGAGGTGTTCCAGGTCAGTTTAACGCTCTCCCTCTGATGCAAGGAGTTTGCACTTGGCCCAGTCCTCTTCTTGTCTTGGACCTACTTCTCCCAGCGGGGCTCTCGTAGGGTTCCAAATGGGGGTAACTTTTGGCGAGCAACCATTAACGGAAAAATGCTCGTTTTCTATTGGAAATGTCTGGCTTCCGGCACATGAGGTGGGGAAGGAAAGACTCTTCAAAGGGATCCATCTAGAGGGAAGTCTAAAAATATGTTAGGCTCTCACTAATGGTAGACGCAAAGCGGAGGGCTTCCGACGGCCTTGATTGCGAGAGGTCTCATTATCTACCGTCATCACATTGCGCATCATCGGTGTCTAGGTGATTGGGAGGAGGCTTACATAGCCCGCACCATCAGTCCCATTTCTTTCCGTAACACCAAAGTCTCTTCCCAAGGAGATTTCCCATGTAATACCCTCACTACTCAGTTAGCCATTAGGGTATGAGATTCCGACTAAAAACGTCCCCCCATTCATGTTGCTCGATGTTGTCTCGCTTATCCCGATATATCATACCACCCAGCTTGTTTTTCGCGCACTAACGAGATGACTCTGGATCACATGTAATCACTCGAGGATATTAACTCTAAGCCTTCTGGACTCGCGGCGACCGTCAATCTGACTGCTAGGCTTACTGCTTGAGTTGTCGGAGGAGTTGGGATGTTCACGAAGTTGGTTCTGTGTAGTGTTGTGTCGCAGGGCGTGTCGTCAGGCGGACTCCGACGGTCTCTAACTGTGTGTCTAGACGAGATTTCGCTAGGAGCCGGCCAGCCCAGAGAGCCCCTCCCGCTGCTGCGGTCTCAATTGTCTGAATCTGGGGCTGCCACAAGGTGGAGAGATGATTGGAGTATCCGCATTTAGCACATGTAGGAGGCTATCTCATCCTCATCCCCTAGGCAGGGCTAGCCGGGCAGAGAACTCAGAAATCTTCTCTAAGTCCTCTTCTTTCTGGGCAACAACAACTAAACCACCGAGCCGATCAAGCCTTCATGCCAGGTACAGCTTCTCTACACCCGTACGGACTATCTGGGATTTGACGCGGTTTGGGCGTTCCCATTAGGGTATCTGCTGCATGCAGAAGAAAGGCACTCGCTGACTGCAAGTAGATGGCCCCTTACCTGAGAGGAATTGAGGGGAACGCAAAGATTCCACAAGACCCCAGGATAGCCCTAGAGGTTGCTGTTCTCACTAGAAACAAATCCCTGATCTTGGGGTCGTGATAAATGGATGGACGGGAAGGCCGACACTTACATGATTTATCGCTCTCCTCGCTATTCTGGAACTCTACACTGCTTCTATTATTCGTCACTCTATAGGGCTCCCTCTGGAGCCAAGAATAACAAAATTTTGGCTTGAGACTATTTCGGCGTTGGAGTCCCAATAGATGAAGTTGTCGGGGGTGACTTCCACGCCCGGAGCCTGCCGTGAAGGTTTTTCTTCGGCAGGGGATCGTTGCTGGAGTGACATACTAGTCTCGTACTCAGTACGTTACTCCTTGGCAGTTTCCTATGTCTTATGACGTTGGATTTCTCACACAAATCAAAAAACATTTCCCATACGGTAGTTCGCACTCCTTAGTGATTCAGTTTAGTCAAGAGTTTGCCTGGGGAACTATACTCTTTCTGAATGGCTATTGACTAATCGGGGCAGCTCGGTCCTGCCAAGACGGGAAGTTCCGATGGTTTACTTTATTTCAACCTCAACATCGCTGCCGGGCCAGCCTGAACTTGCCTCTGGTTGGGTCACCGTGGGATAATTGGGTTTCGCAATTCTCCTGGCTATCGGTTAGCACCGAATATGCCCCTGGCGGTGGCGAATATCATGGGGGTATCACAAACAAACGGCTTTTATCAATTGCATCTCTTCGCGAAGTATGCACAACCTAGGAAGCATTAACCGGCATCCCGAGACCTTCCCTGAGTCAAACGCTGAGTCGCTTGACAAAACATTCTGCCCACAACCCGGCGTGTTATCCCCCCGTCAGAACGACCGGTGCTCAAATCGACCTGCCAAGCTCACGAAAAAGCAATTGGCCAATCCAGGATCGTAGTGTTATTTCCGACGGGATCTGGCTTCTCCGCCCTTCGCGCATGATTTCCAAGGGGGGGGGGAGAGATAGCGAAATGGTTAATTAATCCTGGCCTAAACCTCTATGCATGCGATCGTCCCGTAGGAGGACGACAGTTACGCCTCGCCGGAGGAACCGAGGGTTGGTGGAAGGGGTTCAAGTGATAGTGGTGGTGCTTGGGGGAAAGAAGAGAATATAACATAACCGACGGGTGTGTTTGTGGGGGTTTGAGGTTGGTGATCGACCCACGGTGGATACCGACGGAAGCGCGTCAGAATGGTGCATATATCGAGTGATTCTATATGAACATAGGGATCGGCTGAGGGGAGTGCCCGCATTCTACCGCGCTGGTAGGTGGTCGCGGTTGAAGTTGGAAGGCAAATTGCGGGTATCACATTTATGCACAGATTTCTCGTCCACAACGCGAACATTTGCATAAAGTGATAGGATGGTGACGGGTGCATGGTCTCAGAATGTTTAACTTACATTTTTGTAATCACAACAACATCCATGACACACCCTTTGTATAATATTATGAAAGTGACTAAGCAAAAGTCTCGGTGACCATGTGATTTCGCTAATGGCATCATATATGCACCATTACTGTTGTGGTACTCGAGTATATAATGATCCGGGGGCCATAGGGAGTCTAGTGGGATTAACCGAAGTGCCTAATGGCGGAGGTTCTCGTTACCTGGATCATTTTGGTTAGATAATCTTGGCGGGTGACCTCCCATGAACAAGCCTTTCTCTCGCCCTGAGGAATACCGTAGTTCATCTCGCGAGAAATAAGGTATTTTCTCGAACCATGGGAAGTTGGAGGGCCAAAATTTCTTATCTCCCGCTCTCCCGCCGTGTAGCCTAAATGTGGCGCAGCACTCAATCTGGGTGCTTCTTGAGCTCCGGGGAGAGAATCTTTATACACTACATCCTCACGGCTAAACCTACCTTTTTTCATCACTCTCCTGGCCGTAAATACCGCTTTGAGGGGGAAGGCATCCTGTTTTTAGCAGGTAGGGATTAACGTCTATGATTTCTCTCCCCCTGAGGATGTACCTACTCCTATTATACATTCAATATTTAATAAGATATATCATTATTCTTGACCTGAAGTAAAGACGGGATCCAAATCCACCTGCCAGTAGAACAAGTATTTGTTCGCTCCGTAATATCACATGAAATACCTAACTGGCAAAGGACCAATCTACCCCTTCGCACCATATCCTTATGAAAGAAAAACAAATATATCTTCAAAGGGAGATACAAGAAAAGGGGGGGGGGGAAGGCGGGCCCGGACGAGAATAGCTTTATACTGACCCCAATATTTTCCAGGAAGGGCGGCCGATATCCCCCGTTCACTTTTGCGCAACGAGATGGATTCTCTCCCGGGAAACAACCGCGGGTAGGTCCTTTCTTCCATCAAACTTTAATCCCAACGATATTGTAAGGATCCTCCGAGCTCCTCTGCAATGTTTGTAATAACCATGCGATATCTCACATTTCCCTTGCCTTCCCCCGCCGTGTCCGCTAATATTAGCAACCCTTCGGCCTCGTACTAGCCGGGACAGAGCGCCAGGGCAAACCATCAACGCTAAGACGCAAGTGCTGAAAATTAACACCGGCAGAACCTGAAAAACGTACAGGTATATGTGAAAGAAGCCGGGCTTGTGTGATATCTCATCCCATATCTCATCCTATTGGCAATGTATGCCTTGAACGAAGTGAAGGGAGCGTATTACTCCAGGAAAAGAAGCCGAGATCGTTGTATCCAATAAGCAAGATCTCATGTGAAATTGCCCAGCATTCTCTGTGGCTTAAAAGTGGTTTTCCAGCAGTCCTGGGAAAAACCGCGACTTTGTATTGTTTGTTCTCCTTAAGCACCGGCTATAAATTTCAAGTGACAACCCATCGAAGAACACTTGTACTCGAGGACTACCACAGCCTACCGGCACTCGACTACCGCATATATGCTTGAAAGCAAGGGTTTTGTGTTCATAGTGTTATGGTAATAATAAGTCCAGTGACCCCAAGCAGCCGGTCGTAGTTTCGAAAAGCCTGGATTAGTCCGGTCGAAATTGTTCACAGCCGCCAAAGCCCTGGCTGGAGTGCTTAGGCAACCCCCCGGTCAAATCCTGCAGAAACTTAAGACAAAGCTGCCAGGTGGCCAGGCTAGGCCGGGCTTCGGTTTCAGAGGGCCACTTTCCCATAGTCCGGCCAGGCCGTCCCTGAAATAACCATACCAGAAGCAGGACGGACTGGCCGCTTGGGTTCACTCTACTGCGCTTGATATAACTAGGCACCTCAGGCTAACAGTCTTGAGTCACTTTTTACAATTACTAGACAATAGTCTTGGTGAGGCTGAGCCATTACTGACCCAGCAAGATTGTGGTAAGAAGACAGCGTCACCCTCTACATAGTCACAGACTCCAAAGAAGCGGTTACAGTAGTATGGTATCATACTAGAACACCATTTAATGCTGGCAAAAGAGGTTCCGCCTTATGTCACAGGTGAAGGTGGGGAGTGATAGGTGGTGGAAAAGGTCCTTTTTTTTACATCTCTCAAATGATATTGGCTGATACTGGAACTATTAGTTAATTGTACATGACTTCATTGCTAGACGGGGTGACTGGGGTCACTTTGAAAATGCCTCTTCCACTGGCTAGCTAATAAGCCAATCTTCAGTGACCATCCTAGAGCCTGCTTGGAGAAACTCTGTTGCTTAATACCTTCTAAGATGCTCTGCTGCAATGGCCAGTACCAAAGGGCAGTGTGTCAGACATCAGAATGAGAATTGGTGCACTGTGGCGGGATTGCTCGTTTACCATCACTCTTTCAATTAAATTTTAATCAATAATGTGCTGGTGTGGTTTTTTGGATCCAATATCTCCTCATTCGTTTCATGAAGAAATGGCAAGATTCCATTGTAGAGTGGTGGATCACGAACCATGCACGAGACGGTAGAATCATCAAGACTTTTGTCTAGTGACTGTATATATAGCCCAACGATTTCTCTAGACTGCTATTTACTGATGTATTTTAAGCTTAGTCCCATACTATACAATCCTGGCCACAAAATTCGTCGACACACTCCACACTTTACACAAAAAATTGGCGTTTTCACTTTGCATGTCGGCTTTGTTCAAGGAGAAAATGTTAAAATTTGCTGGATCCTTTGCAGCTACCTAGATATTATCACTCTTTAGTGACAAGCTCTGTTAGTAAATGCCCTTGGTTCAATACCAGTAATAGCAATAGAGGGCAAAAGTTACTTTTAATCTCAAAAGAGCTTCCTATACAAACGATATCATACTTTTCAACACTATCAAATCTGCGCCTTTGTCCTCATGGAGTAGTAAGAAAATTCCTACAATTCCCACAATTCCCACCCGAAGGGGTCCGGGAAATCGCCTACCCCACAGAACTGGTTTCATTGATTCTGTATTGCTTTTGGGCGAGCGGTAAGTGCTTAAAATCCGCCGTTTTTTTAAAAATAGGGGTGAGGGTGGGTGCCAACGAATCTTGCCACCAAGACCGTACTCGGGATTGTCAGTTGATTCAGGTATTATACTTGCCAACTTGACAAGATGCTACCTAACTATGGGGTACTGGTGGGCATAGTATCCAACTCTCACAAGTGGAGAGACCCGACTCAGTGGTCCTATCATACTTTTAAGGATGTTGCTCACTTGGCCTGATTGTTCAGGTCGTTTATTGCTCCGGGCATTCTGTTCTTCCGCGGGGGGCTTGAGGGGGGCTGGAACGGACACTGTAATTTCTTTGACCTGGAATCACTTATGCCGATGTATTCTGCACACTTATTAACGTATCGGTATTGAGACTGTGCTGCAATGCAATTCCTTTGGTGTTTTTTTTTTGACTCTTACCAGCAAACGTAACCACCTCTACCGTAGAATTCCTGCAATAAAGCTCGCAGGAATATCTTTTGGCGAGTAGGCAAATGGGTGATAATGTGGAAAGAAAAAAAGAAGGGGTTCTCATCGGAAGGAATGAATTACCTACTCTATCCCTCCTACGCACATGAGATTTGACTCTCACATGGCTTGATTATCAGTTTATCCATGTGTCTTTATTCTCTTTCCTTCTTACTTTGTCTTCGGATTTTCTTGTTCATATCACTGGGGGCAGGAGAGAAAGAAAGAAGAAAAAAAGAAAAAAACGGAATTTTTCAATTTATCTATCCTCTTTGTAAAATATTGTGATCTAGCGAAATTATTTGATTGTTAATCAAGTTTTAAGTTACTTTTTCCACCAGGTGATGCTGTTCGGGGTATTGTGTTCGACGCTCATGTCGTATGATATGTCACCAGCGATGTGGTATGACAGGTAGGGTATGATGAGCAAGTGACTGGGTGCGATGCTAGGGGGGGGGAGGTTGGAAAATTGGGGAGCTAATTTGTGTAAGTGGGTGTTTAGGGTTAAGGCTTGTTCAGAGGCGTAATACAAGGCCTCCTTGGGTTTGCGAGATTGTGGTGGTCTGTTGGTATGGTGTAGTCCGTCAGCCATTAATCAACTTGCACCCACCACCAGTAGGCCTAAGACCCTTGTGAATGGTTTTTGTTCTGGCTTTATGGTTCGTAATTAGAACCACCACAATACATGCACCTTGTCCTAAGCAATGCGGTATTTGCACCAGGTTGTGTACCGTAGATGTGCATATAGTGCTTATGATGTGACCTATCATACAAACGAAGAACATCCACCCTCCCTTTTCTCCTCCGCTCCTCCTTCAAATACAAACGCCAGCCCGCCTCAGAAACGTCCTAACAATCCATCAGATATATCCTCCCCTCTCCACAACGCAGCGCTAAGCTATACGATCCGCACACAACCCATTCCATCCCATCTAATTCTACCATCCAAAAACACAGCACAACATACAACAAACCCATCCGCCGTCCCATAACCCCACCTACCCGTAATACCCCCACACTAAATCTCCTCATCCTTCTCACCATTTCTGCTCTTCACCCCCTCCAACCTGGCACCATCCGGCGCAAACATCGAATCCGGCGTCGTTACGTTAGGCAATAACACTGCGCGATCGACATCGTACGGGAGACCTCTATGCCGGCCGCGGATCTCCATTGCCACGATGACGAGTTTACTGAATGTGGTGAAGGTTCCGGAGAGGGAGGTGTTGAGGCCCGGGTAGCCGAGTGATAGACCGACGTCTCCACTGGTATTGTTAGCATCGTAAAAGAAGAAGGGAAGAAATAAGAGATGGGGTGGATTACTAAGCGCTAACGACCTCGAAAAATACACTGAATGCTGTGAACGCCTACACTCACGTTAACTAAAACCGGAAAAGGGACATTGGAGTCATACGTAATCACTCGCATCCGCAATCCTTCTCCCCTCGGCAACACATATCAGGAACAGGCCCAAGAACACATACCAGAGGTCGAACTCCAACTGCCTGCGTATATGCGCCTTGATATAGGTCCCTTCGTCCCTCTTCTCCTCCTGCGCTTCCCTGGCTTCGGCGGATGGGATGTAGATCCCTAATGAATGCTCCTCGTACACGTTCGTGCGACGGATGGAGATTGCGAGTGGGAGGACGGAGATGTACATCATTATAAGGTAGCTGCATTGAATGCCGGGATGTAGGGAACCGATCGGGACGGAGGAGACGCCGGCAGTGCGGGTCGAGACTGCTTGGAGCAAAGCGTTTAAGACCCTGTAGCCAGCCGGGATGGATTCTACAACGGGGGTTTGGAGGTCTAGCACTATGAAGAGGACCGTGTCGGCGATGTTGAGGATCTGGATAGTGTCAAAATTTGGTATCTTAGTGGGAAGGGAGGGTGGTTTACGATTAGGATCCAGAAGAGCCACCACGTCGGCTGATTGGTCATGGTTAGTTATGGGTGTAGTAACTATTCGCGATGGGGACCCACTCCACTGGGAAAAAGCAGTGTAAAGCACCGCCGAGGGTGATCCAGCAGGAAATTCAATTCCTATCGGCATGTTAGTACACCCACAAGGTACTCCCTTGGGGGACTCACGTCGCGCTTATCCGGGTACCTGTCCGGGCACAACTTGAAAAGGCACCAAATGGTGAACCTCAGCAGTAGTGGGAACCCCGTGTTCCTGCCCGATTAGCCTCAAAGTTTGATAGCTCAAAGGGACGGGGATGGCAACAAACCCAGCTATAATCAAAAACCCGGAAACGATCAGCACCAATGACGCCCTCTGAAACGAAACCATCGAATCGGGTGTAAGCAGGAAGCCAACATTGGCAAAGCAGGACATGGCGGTATAAGCCCCCCACCAAGATTTGTTGACCCCGAAGTCATCCAAAATCTTCCCATACTTCAGCGACCGCAGAAGATATGGCACGAGCATAATCACACCAAAAACGTGAATAAAAGCGTAGTAGGCGATAAGGATCCATGCCAGCGTTTTCAAACTGCGGTACTCAATACCACCGAGCTCATTTCTCTGTTCTTCCGTCAGGTCGTAAAAGCGGGAATTACGCCCGACGCTCGGGTTATAGCTGAGGTACGGTGCTGGCGGGTCGTCCCTGCTCTTGCGGAAACTGGGCCGGTTACGGCTTAGGGAATTTTCACGACTTAGTGCTCGCACACGGCGGGAGGAGGAGGAAGCGGGGCCTGTGTCCACACGGGTGATATCGCCGGTATCCGTTATCTCGTGAATTGTGTCCACCGAAGAGCGGCGGATTGCCCCCGCTGTCGACCGGGAGGTGTCGTAGTAGTGGGCTTTTTCTTCCTCGGATTGGTGGGCGTTTTGGGTGGAGTGAGAGGCCGGTACGTCCCATACAATGCGGCCGCTAGTTGGAGCTTCGGGAGAGTGGGGAGTGGTGCCTGTATCATTGATTGACGAGGTTTGTGTCGTTTGCGTTGGAAGAGCGCTTCCGTCTGCTGCTCTCAGGACCACTTTTTCCAAATGAGATAAGACGGTTGTCAATTTCCATGACAACGGAAGGAGGTAAATGTTGTAGAAGGGGTACACGATACATACCGATTCCGCTCTCCACACCCCCACCTCTGACATTATCCTTCGAACGCCTGGCAGCGCTCACCGTTCGCTGTAGCTGGGTGTTCCTCTTGGCTTCCTCGACTATTTCACTCTCACACACCGCATTACCCTCCGATCACCACTACTACCGATAGCTGAGGGAAGGAGACACGAGGGAGTAAATAAAGCAAGACAAAGGGAGATACCAATATAGTCAAACCTCTTCTCAAAAAAGTGTATCCTAACGAAGACGACCAGAGTATGCACGAATATCGGAGTCGTCACGAACGGCAAGAGGTAAGTGACAACTTGCTGGAAGGTATTAATCTTGTTCAGGTCGATACTAACAACCATCTGGTATTAGTATCCCCTTATATCCATTCGGATTGATTACATAAGCAAAGGATTCCCGGCTCCCCGTCACCGGCGGGTACGTAAGTACCTGGGGAGGTGTTTTCGTGCCAGGCAGGGATTATTTTGCTGGTTAAATATAGGTGCTTGTGCGGCGAGAATTTAGATAATTGGCACTCGTGCTGGGAGGTCGACACACTTTTGCTTCCCCGGGGGGGCAGCCTCCGACCCCCCCACCCAAGAGAGGGTGCCCGGACGTCTTAGCGCGAGTGCCAATTATTCAAGTTCTTACGGCGTGATATGCGGATGAGCGCATATGAACCGCTCTGGTTCACTACCGATCCCATTCCCTCGGTTTCCCAGTGACCAAGTATTGGGGGAGGGAAATCGTATGGATCAGATCAAAGGGGGGGTGGGAAAAGAGAAATTTCCAAACATACGTATTCAAACCAGCTTGTGCCGCAGAACCACTACAATTCCCAGTTCAAGGTCAACGCTGCCCTCTCCGGATAGACGGACATATGGGAGGAAGTGGAGTGGGAGGGGAACATACGAAGAAAAAAATATCGCATCAACGAAAGGCACACTACCGCCGAGGTATATTGCAACAGCGCCGAAGAGAATAAAGAATAGGATGTAGATATCTGTATTCCATATATTACCTACCCGTACATCCATCGGGGGGCCAAAGGGAGAGAATAGGGAGAAATGCGAGAGCAGAGAGGGGAAACTCACAATGCAATACAATAAACGAAGGTCTAACACTCGATACCCTCTTGAAATTTTTGAAAGCTGCTAGGGCCATCACCGTTGACAACAACCTTGATCCTGTACCGTCGCCGTAATTTACTCGAACTCGGCTGCGCTCTGCTAGTATATATGCCCAACTCACTCATTCACTCGCTTCCCTTTCTCTCTTACTCTCTGACAACTGACAAACTGACGGACGGACGGGCAGAGAGAATAGAAAGACAAAGTGGAGCGAGCGAGCGAGCGGGAGAGTAGGAGTGAGTAGCAGCAGCAGCGGTTCATGTAAAAGAGCACATCCAAAGAAAGCGGTGACCCTTTCCTTCTCTCCAACCCTCGACCCCGTGATATTTTTTCCAAAAATCCCTCGCGACACCGCTATCATACTTGTAGCATCCCACACTTCGCTTACCCACCTACCTATCTCCCTCTTTAATCCAAACCATAAATTACCACTCGACCCTGATCTTGTGCTAGACTGAGGGAAAACCCGCCAACCCACAATTTCAGGGTTTACGGTGCTGGTTGGAAAGTGCAGTAAAAAGTGAAAAATAGTCTTTTGGTGTTGTCATGGGGCTGGCTGGCTGTGCTGGTAGTGTAAGGACAGGAAGGGAATACCGGTAGCCCTGGCGGTTAAGGTGCCGGTATCCTGATGCGGTGCCAGTATCTCGCAGATAAACGAGTAAGTTAAGTATAATAGAGTACCGTTCGAGCGAATGGTGGATTAAGTTGTTGGAACGTGCGTGGAGTTTCGGGTGTTCGGCCAATTGGCGGGGCGCGGTTAGTATTCGTTTTGGTACCATAGGATAAGGTTTGTCTAGTACTGTATGATTGATGGTTGAATTGTAGGATTGCGGAGCTGGCGCAGTACTCAAGTCGCCGGATTGGGGTTGCGTTTTTTTTGGTGCGTCAACCACCAAATAAAAACAAAACCCAACTTCAATCAGGCAACTCGAGTCCATTCCGCTGAAGGTGTGTGACTTATGGAATCCTAACTATTAGGGGAACCATTGGTAAATCGAATTGCCGCAAGTTTACTGGAGCTTATGGGTTTCTGGCTTGGCGCATGCATGATACATATAATAGTTCATAATATTATGCTGTTTTCGCTTTGAGAGTTAGATCCCATTCTAGCTACGCATTGCTGGTGGGCTATACCCTTTCAGGGGAACGGAGCTCTCGCCGCCTGCTAGGACAAATTGGGTGCCAAATCTTAACCGAGAAACCACGAGAACTAGTAGGATAGGAGGAGGGGTATGATGATAGGGAGGAGATAGTTGAGTGTTACTCCAACTATCACAAATGTAGGTCACCGAGACTGGCGATGGGAAAACTGTAAAATAACCCTCACATCAAACCACACCCGCCCCGAGATAAGATAACTACAATACTGTATTTTCCTCAAGAAATGGCAGTTCTCTCCCTCCACCTTAGTTTCCGTGGAGAAGCAGACTCGGCCATAAAGTACCGGTACCACAAGCGGCATCTACCCCAACATGTCTATCATGAAAACAATCTCTGCTAGTCTTTGGACGAGTTGCGGTCAGTTCTACATTAGGGGTGCTCGTTCCATCGGTCCATGATCTACTCTCGAGTGGTACTGTGCCAATGCTGTCACCGGGACAGTCTATCATACCCTCAATAAAGCTGCACAAGTAGCATCCTCTCCCTCAAAGTGGCCACCGGTGAAGATGGGGGATTTCCCTTTTACGCGCAATGCTGGTTTGGCATTATGACTTGAAATTGCTTATGGCATAGGATGGGAATGACTTGATAATTGTTATCGCTAAATTATTATTGGGGGGGGGGGGTCACGTGGGCAGCGATGTTGCGATAAGAAGAGGGAGAGGTCTGTTTTTGTGGATTCCTCTGCTGATAAATGATAAAAGCGCACACTTAAAATGTGAAGGAAAGGTTTAAGTGGTATTTTACGATTAGCGTTCGAAGGTAGTGAGTGTCTTGGGTCCGCCTTTTGGGAATTTTGGCATGCTTTTTTCTGGTTCCCCTGGAGCAAATACTGCGATCACTATATGCTTTGTTTTCCAGTTCTTTGAGTACTGGCAAGGCCTGGCCCATGGGGGCACACGGGCCAGAGCAAAAAGTAGGAGTATGACTAAATATATCTACTTTCATATAGTATATCATAAGGGAGTATCATATCCCAAACTTTGAGGTTGTTGTCCGCAAAGGCTAAGGCGGTACAATACTAGCGACATGATAGGTTAGTTTATATGATTCTCATATAGATAGTTACACGACTTCCTCTCGGCTATTATTTAGATACGAGTACAAAAGTCTGTACTGTACAGAGATCCCACATGGAACCTAGGTAATCAAAGAATAGGAAACTTGATGTCACTTAGAGCCTAATTCCAGTCACGACATTTCCAGCTTGTATTAAAACATATAAAAATAGATCACACTGGCCACTTATAATCTCCCTGTATCCTCCTATGAAATCAAAGAATGATGCAGATCCTGAACTACGGTATGTGAATCTCAGGATGGGCGGTGGAGAAAAAGTCGCCCTTGATCTATTAGGAGACAAACCCCTACCCCTCAGCTGCTATGGCGCTCAGTGTTCGCAAGCGGCCAGTCCGGCACGGCTTGAGCATAACCGGGCCACCCTGGGCTTTTCCGAGAGCCGGCCTGGCCGGGCTGTCGGCCACAGTCCGACTTCCTGGTCTCATCTGGCCTGGCCTGGCCGGACTGCAGATATCTGTAGGCTTCTGAGCGATCCGCTGTGGCAGCTATAATTCTGGGGAGCTTTCGGGGCATTTGTATAAATTGGTATCGATTGAGCGGCCAATGAGCATATGCGTCAACACCCTCTGTGCCTGCATGTGATAATTCTATCTTCACCGCTATTACATATATCATAGGAGTTGAATAACCGCTCTGTGCACTGCTTAGTGCAGATCTCTATGCACTATACACTCACATTCTTGTCTTAATAGTTTTATCCAACGTGGAAAACGCAATGAAGAGGAGAAATAGTTTTCTATGCGGAATCATGAACGTGAAGGGTGCTAGGAGAAGGGTATAGTGGAGGGGCGGCTATAACCAAAATAGTTAGGTATTTACGGTTGTACTGATACTGATGTGGTACGGAAAATAGCACGAAATCATAACCGAATAATATTTGCTCACGTGTAATATACGCACACCTTAGGAATATATCGAGTGATAGAAAATCCCTTAGCATTCGCACTGCTCTCAGAACTGGGAAACGTGGGAATATTCCTTTTTTGATTTCGATTCGCATGTCTCGGAGCTAAGCCGATTGCAGATATCTTCAGGTATTGCATGGATATTAGCGAATATCTGTATATAACTTCAGGCATCTTCAGATATCCGCAGATACTAGCGTGTATCTGAAGGTGTCTGTCACCCACTAACAAAATATTTACTAATACGATGGCAGATGCCGAAAGCCTGGCGGTGCCGCCAGGTATCTATGAAGGCCTGGCCTACAAAGCCCAGGTCGGTTTCACATTGACCTGGCCTGGCAGGACTGTATATCTACCGGCTATCTGCGGGCCTGCCTGGTCGCCTGCGAACACTGGTGGGACTGATTTTCGCGTATGATAGGGAAAATCTTTACAAAGCTCAAAAAGCCCGTGGGCCACATTAGCCGACGTAAAGCCCGAGGGCTTCTCGAGACCAAGGCTCGTGCAGGTCTATGGCAAGCACTGGGATAAACAAGTGGGGGGTGTTTAGTTCGCCCAATCACGACTTCGTGAGGTGTTTCTTGTTTTTGTAACAGTTGTTGGCCCAGTATAAGGTGGGAAGGATGACTAATCTTTGCGCAGTGCAATAATAATATTATTATAAACCTCAATAGAAGAACTCTTAATACAAAATGCTGTTATCATACCCAACTTTTAAGCGCCATACCACTACTCTCTAACATCCGACAGGAAAGGATTTGTTAACAAACATTTTAAGGAGCTCTTATTACCGGTAAAAGTCCTGATTTCCTAACAATAAGGATACTGGGGGATCGAGATCATTCTACTTAGGTCGCCTGTGCTTAGTAGAGAACTCAGGAAAGCCAAGACAGCTGGTAGAGGGGAGAGATGAGTGTGGCCGTTACAATTTTCGGTGGCACTCCAGCAGTCATGGCGGTAGGGGAAATGAAGGGGCGTAAAAGGAGAGGAGGTGTGGAGATCGGAGGAGGAAGGCTACTAGCCGATGAGGTTGAGTTC